CAGCAGTGACAGCCCCCACCCTTCCCCATGCCCACCCCGTGTCCCGGGCTCTCCCTGTGGTGGTGGTGATGGTGTTGGTGGTGAGGGGATGCTCCGTCACGGGGGTGGGGATCCAGGAGGTGGGGGTGGCTGAAGGAGCTGCTGGAGGAGCTGATACGACTGCATAAAGAAAGGTCTTGGTGGGAACTGGGGGCTGGAGGTGACCCCATGTCTCCTCTGAGAGTGGGCAAATACTGGCCCACGTCCCCTCCAGCACGTGTGCCTGCCCTGGCAGTGTCCCTGCAGGATATGCCCTGCCTGCTCCTGCCTGCACCCACCTGCCCAGCTGCCCCCCACCACCTTTCAGGGCCATGTCTCCCATGGTGAGACATCTCCCCACCAGTTGTGAACCAGAGATTTAGGCTGAGGGGGTTGGATCTACCCCTTTTCCTCACCCAGAAACTAAAATGTTACATCATTTACAAAGGCAGTTAGTGACAGAACAAGGGGAAATGGCTCTAAACTGGAAGAGGGGAGGTTTAGATTAGATATTAGGAAGAAGTTCTTCACTGTGAGGGTGGTGAGACACTGGAACAGGTTGCCCAGAGAAGCTGTGGCTGCTCCTCCCTGGAAGTGTTCAAGGCCAGGCTGGATGAGGCTTTGAGCAACCTGGTCTAGTGGAAGGTGTCCCTGCTGATGGCAGGGGGGTTGGGACTGGATGAGCTTTAAGGCCCCTTCCAACCCAAACCAGTCTGGGATTCTCTGATTTCACTGTCAGGGGCTGGGTTTGGCGGGTGCTCCCCGGGCTCAGCGCTGGGGTCAGCATCAGTTCTCAGTGCCGTGGGGAACGGGTGGCTCTGTCCATCCTGCCTGCACTGTGATGGGTGCTGGGAGCCCCAAAACCAGTGCAGGGCTGGACCCTGTGTTGGGCACCAGTAAGCTCTGTCTGCATCGGGGAGCATCCCCTGAAGAAAAAACCCTGCCACCCCTCCCAACCTCTGCCACTGGTTTATACTGGGTCCCAGGGGCTCTTTCCCACATTGCTGCCTCCATCCAGGCCACTGCTGGCCCACAAGCTGGTGGCCTCTCCAAAAAGAGACCTGGCCAGCAAAACCTCCAGCCAGCCAGACACCAGGGCTTACCTGGGACCACCCTCACTGTCACCAGCTCCATCAGATCTCTGCCTATCTTCTCAACCCCACACCAGTAACTCCCAGCATCCTCCTCGGAGAGGTCCTTCATGGTGAGCAGGACCACGCAGAAGATGTGGCTGTCCCTGATGGAGACCCGGCCGTGCTGCTGGCGTGCTTCTCTCCCTGCTGTCTCCACCACCTTGTGGCAGGAGTCCCGGCTGGCCCCCCGGCACCAGTACTTGTTGTAGCCCTCGTAGCCCCTCGGGTACCAGCAGTGGAGGTAGAGGGTCTCCCCGACCCGGCCGCTGACCTCCCTGGGGACAACCAGGGCTTGGCAAACTGCAAAGAAACCCAGAGCGATGAGAAACATGAGCGATGATGGAGAGAAACAAGGCTGCGAAGTCAGCCTTCCCCTGAGCCCCTCCTCAGCTCCCTTTGGAAAGAAGCATTTTTGAGGAGACCCCATCTACTGGCTTTTAGCCCCAGACGTGAGGCTGCAGTGATGGGAGGCTTTGGCTCCATCAGTCCCTGACATGGAACCTGTGCCCCTGGGGGGCTCAGCAGTCCCAGCCCCCTTGGTGCCAGCGGGAGCTGGAGCATGTCCAGCATGGTTGGAGCCTGTCCTCACCTGGGAGAAGGAGCCAGCCCCAGCCTGGTGATGTCCCCATCATCCAGCTTTGCTCCAGCGATCCGAGAGCATCACCCTCCCGCACAGGACAGCGAGCGGGGACGCGGCTCTCGGCTTCTTTCGTTGCTTCTTCGCTCACGTAAGAGGCGGCTGCTCTGCTGCCGAGTTATTTTTATCTGACCAGGCTTCACCTCAGGGCTGGGGATGTTCTGCTGCAGGTGACAAGCTGCTCGGATGCTTTTTGCAGACCGGTACATCTGAAGTGCACTGGCGAGGGGGGGGCAGCCACAGAAACAGGACATGGGACCCCGTGCACCTCACTTGGTGGGAGGGTTTGGGAGGGGAGAGGTCTTCACCCCAAAGTGCTGCTGCAGAGAGATGCTGGAGCACACGAGCTGAACAAAGTTTCCAGTGCCAAAATGGGGCAAAACCAGCACGGGAGCTTTAATCTTTGCTTGATCTTTGCAGATCCCACCTCATGGGTGCTGGGGCTGCATGTCCTGTGCTCAGGAACCATGCTGGGATGGGTGCAGCTCAGCCCCTGGGCTGCATTTCAGCTGAGAGGGACATGCCAGACCCTGCCAGCTCTCAGGGTGGGGGTCTCTGGCCCCAGCCCCAGGCTCTACTGGGGTCTGCAGCACCAAACTGGTTTGGGGGGAAGTGGGAGATGTGAGACATATGGGGAGGGGGGA